AGGTCGATCAAAAAAAAACGCTCGGACACGTCGATTTTGTATTCAAGAGGGAAACTTTTTGATCCCATTGGGTGGGGTGACTTTAACCCCTCCTTTTCAGATAGGAAAGATGCCAGAATAATAGTCAGGTACAGTTAAAAAAGGTAGTGTGTACATTAACATATCCTAGCCCTGAGTTCCCAAATAGTTGGGGAGCTGGCGTCAAAAACATGCAAGAGTTTTCGCAAGGCGGATATTTTCAAAATAGGTCGTACTTTAAGGCTAGAATGCTAGTGTACAGTCAGCACTCACAGTTCCGGGACAGCTGGCTCTGGGACGCGGGCAAAGTTGTAATTTTAAGAAGCATCTAAACTGTTTTCTCAAAGCTCAAAATTTATAGAAATTCTGCACATTATCTGTTTGAAGGTCACAGATAACGTATGTAAATCGTCAGACGTCTAGTTCTTTGCAAAAAGGGGGTCAGACGTCCTCAAAGTTTTCATTTTATGGCATTTTCTTCGGTGTCCTGTCAAAATATATTTTTGCAGGTATTTGACAAATATATTTGAAGAAAATGCCATAAAATAAAAACTTTGAGGACGTCTGACCCCCTTTTTGCAACGAACTAGACGTCTGACGATTTACATACGTTATATGTGACCTTCAAACAGATAATGTGCAAAATTTCTATAAATTTTGAGCTTTGAGAAAACAGTTTAGATGCTTCTTAAAATTACAACTTTGCCCGCGTCCCAGAGCCAGCTGTCCCGGAACTGTGAGTGCTGACTGTACACTAGCATTCTAGCACTAAAGTACGACCCATTTTGAAAATATCAGCCTTGCGAAAACTCTTGCATGTTTTTGGCGCCACCTCCTGGACTAAAAGTAATTATCCTCATACTGAAGTTAATATATTCTAGAAGTTACTCAACGTGTTTTCTTCAATTCCTCAGAAATACACTACATTTGGCGACGAGGATGGGATGGTTTTATTGAAATTGTTTGAGGGTAATTGAGGGTAAGTTTGGCAGTTTGGGAACGTCAAGTTAGAGACGTTGACATTGAGTGGTGAACGGTACGAACAGCGAATCGAGTATACAATAACTAGCTGTTCCCGAGTACATTTCTTTTTTTTTTTTTTTACTTAATTGAAAGTTAACGGAAGAAAATGGCATTAATTGGACACATTGAACCTTTCAAGGGAAATCAAGGGGAAGAATTCGAATCTTATATGGAAAGAATGGAACATCTGTTTAAGGTTAATGTGGTAGAAGAGGGACTTAAAGTTTCACTTTTTATAACTCTGGCAGGTACAAGTGTTTATCAAACTTTAAAGAATTTAGTAGTTCCAGGAAAACCTACAGACTTTACATATGCTCAGATTAAGGATAAACTATTGAAACATTATTCACCTCCAGTGTCAGAAATTTATGAACGGTTTGTTTTTAATAAATGTAATCAGAAGAGTGAACAATCGATAGCGGATTATATTATAGAACTGCGAAAATTAGCAAGTTCTTGTAACTTTGGACAATTTTTAGATGATGCTCTTGGGGACAGATTTGTGTGCGGCATACGCGCAGAAAATATTCAAAAAAAATTATTATCAGATGTTGGGTTAACATTTAGTAGTGCTTGCCAAATGGCTCAAGCCTCGGAGATCGCTCAAAAGCAAGTTAAAACTCTAGTAGATACGTCAGCTGGCACAGTGAATAGTTTTTATAAAAAACCGTATAAATTTAATCAGGGACAGTACAGTAATAATTCTAAATTAGAGCCTAAAGTAAGAGATTTTCAGCAAAATAAGCCTGTTGAGGGAAAGTGTTTCAAATGTGGTCGAGCCCATCCAAAGAATAAGTGCCCAGCTGTGAATTGGAAGTGTTTCAGATGTCTGAAACTTGGCCATGTCAAGCAACTGTGTCCTCAACGAGGAAAATCTACAGTTGGTGCTGTAGAAGTATTATCTGAGAGTGAAGAGGTAGATTTTGATGGTAGTGATTTGTGGTGTATAAACAATATGCAAGGTAAGAATGTTCCTGCATATCATGTAAAGTTGAAGATTAATAATATAATTGTGAATTTTGAGGTAGATACAGGTGCATGTAGATCAGTTATGTCTATTTGTCAGTTTCGTAATTTTTTTAATATTAAATTAAGTCCGGTGTCTTATAAACTTAATGTAGTTTCTGGTCAGGATATTAAGGCTATTGGGGAATGTATTGTTGAGGTTGAGTTAGGCAAAATTCATACTGGTTTACCATTAACGATTATTGAATCTGGGAAAGTCTTTACACCTTTGTTGGGGCGGAATTGGCACAATATTCTGTTTCCTGGGTGGCAGAAAAATTTCGGAGATAATTTTATAAATAACTTTCATTTTAATGACTTAGTTTTTCAAATTAAAAATAAATATAAGTCTGTTTTTGATGGTGACTTATGTTCTCCGATTAAAAAGTTTGAAATTAAATTTAATATCAAGGAAAATGCAATTCCGGTAGTTAAAAAAGTTTATAACATGCCATATGCTTTAAAACCCAAAGTAGAAACAAAACTTAAGCAAATGCTAAAAGTAGGTATAATAAAACCAGTCTCTTTTAGTGAATGGGCATCACCAATAGTAAGAAAGGTACCGATGATGTTCGTATATGCACAGATTTTAAGTTAACTGTTAATAAAGTTTTGAAAATAGATCAATATCCTTTACCTACACCAGAGGACATATTTGCAAGTTTGGCAGGGGGGTCTATATTCTGTGTACTTGATCTTACAGGGGCGTATCAACAACTTAGGGTTCATCCCGATTTTCAAAAATATCTTACTATAAATACACATATGGGTATGTTTAGGTATACGCGTTTAACTTATGGGGTGGCTTCAGCTCCAGCTTTATTCCAATCAGTAATGGATCAAATTCTAGGTAGTATTCAAGGAGTCTATTGTTATCTAGATGATATTTTGGTTTCTGCGACTGATTTCGAACATGCATATAAATTACTGGAGTTAGTTTTAGGTAGATTAGATAGGTATAATGTCAAGGTTAATTTGGACAAGTGTAAATTTTTTGAAAATCAAGTAGAATATCTGGGGCATAGAATAGATCAAGAAGGTATACATCCTACAGATGATAAGTTGCGTGCAATATGGGAGGCACCTGAGCCTGTTAATTTGACTCAGTTGCGGTCATACTTGGGTTTGTTAAATTATTATTCGAAATTCATTCCAATGTTGTCCTCTCAGTTGCATCCATTGTATCAATTATTGGAAAAAGATAAAGAATTTGACTTTAATAAAGATTGTAAAAACGCTTTTCAGCTAAGTAAGCAGCTAATAAAAGATAATCAGGTTTTAACCCATTATGATCCAAAAAAAACTCTGATAATATCATGTGATAGTAGTAGTTATGGTGTTGGGGGTTTATTGAGTCATAGAGATTCTGCTGGCCAGGAAAAGCCTGTTTGTTTCGCATCGGGAACGCTGTCGAAAGCAGAACAAAATTATTCGCAATTGGAACGAGAAGCTCTTGCAATTATATTCAGTGTAAAAAAAATTCATAAATATGTCTTTGGGTGATCATTTATATTAGTTTCCGATCATGAACCATTAAAAATGATTTTTAATCCAGATCGTAGTATTTCGGTAATGTCGGCGTCGCGTATTGTAAGATGGAGTATAATTTTATCAGCTTATCAGTATAAAATTGAGTATAGGAAGGGTTCAAAAATGTTTGAAGCAGATATGCTTTCACGTTTGCCTTTGCCTGATTCTACAGAAATAGATAGCTCTTTAAATTCATTCAATTTGTCAAATGAATTACCACTATCTTATGAGGATATTGGTAGAGTTACCAGTAAAGATTCCATTTTGATAAAAGTTATGAGTTTTGTTAGAACAGGTTGGCCTCAGAAAGTTGAGGATGGAGACTTAAAACCTTATTTTTTAAAAAGAAATGAGCTATCTATTGAAGATAAGTGTTTAATGATAGGGATAAGGGTTGTGATTCCTCTATTGTTACGTAAAGACGTTTTAAATATTATCCATGAAAACCACATTGGTATAGTACGAACAAAAATGTTAGCTAGATCAGTTTTCTGGTGGCCTGGGTTACAGCAGGATATTGAGGCAATGGTTTCGGCTTGTAGCACTTGTAGATTAGTTCAGAATGATCATGAAAGAGCGTTAATATCCTGGCCGAAAACAGAAAATGTTTTTCAAAGAGTTCATATTGATTTTTTTCATAAAAATGGAAAAACATTTTTGTTATTAGTTGATAGTAAGTCTAGGTGGATAGATATACATTTTATGAATAAAGGTACAGATGTTAGTCAAACAATAGAAAAATTAAAATTGACGTTTTGCTTGCTGGGATTACCAGATACAATAGTATCTGATAATGGTCCTCCGTGCAACTCTAATGAGTTTAATCGTTTTTGTCATATTAATGGCATTAATGTTCTAAAAAGCCCTCCTTACCATCCGCAATCTAATGGATGTGCAGAACGTCATGTACAGACGGTAAAAGCTTCATTGAATAAGTATATTGCAGAAAATTCAACTATGACAGTTGAACAGCAAATCGTTAATTTTCTCTTTAGTTTTAGAAATACTCCTTGTTCAGTTACAGGACTTAGTCCTAATGAAATGATTTTCAAAATTAAACCTAAAACTCGTTTGGATTTACTAAAACCTAAAACGAGAGGAAAAGTATTGTTTAATAAAAATTTTGATTATATTGAACCGATCATTTTTGTAACAAATGAAAAAGTATTAGTTGGAAAGTTAGGTCCTTATAGTAAAGAAAAATGGGTTGAAGGAGTTATTGAGAAATGTATTAGTTCTGTTACATATTTGGTTAGAGTAGGTGAGAGACTTTTATATAAGCATGTGAACAGTTTAAGAAAAATGCATAGTTTAGGTGAGGTGCTGGATAAAAATTTGACTACACAGTATGTACCAAATGTTTCTGATACAGTTCCATTAAAATTAAAATATGATAATATCCAAGATGTTCAAATGTCAGAAGTGCCTTCTCAAATATTACCAAATAACAGTGTAGAAAAAGAATCATTAAGTCAAGATGATAGAAATATCAATTGTAAAAGTCCAGTTAGGTTACCTATAAACGAGCCTGTTAATTTGGAAGTTCTCTCTAAGAATAGTACTGATGAGGTAAATTTGAGACGCAGTACTAGACAACATAAAGCACCTCAACGTTTAGATTTATAGTTATGTACCTATCTTAAGTGGGAAGGAAATGTTATGTATGCCACTGACTATATAATTGAAAGGTTGGTTAGCAACCAGAATAATAGTCAGGTACAGTTAAAAAAGGTAGTGTGTACATTAACATATCCTAGCCCTGAGTTCCCAAAGTAATTATCCTCATACTGAAGTTAATATATCCTAGAAGTTACTCAACGTGTTTTCTTCAATTCCTCAGAAATACACTACACTCTCAAGATATTCACTATCAAAGTTGCTATGGGCTAAATAGGAAACAATTTTCTGGCCCTGGTATTCTCAAATTAACACTTCTTGTAGTATTTTTTACTGAATCGAGACTAACACAGTTTCAACTCCATCGATATAAAAAAGCAAGAAAAAAAAAATCCTTCATTGTTGAACATTTAGAAAATGCTGTTATTTGAAAGATCTTCGAAACAAGATGCTACTCAGCCCACTCCCTCTATCATAATAAAAGGGGTGAAAATCAGCCTCGATACAAAAACAAAATAACATACAGGGTTTTAACGAGAATCAAACTACCTTTAAAAGAAAGTACAATTCGACCTCGATCTACCTTACTTATCTTGATAGAAAGGGTGATATGATGAATAGAAACAAATTGAAATTATTAGAAAAGTGCTTCTGAAAAAATGAAAATTGACGTGTCCGAAAGGAAAGTGTTAATTTGAAAATAACAGGGCAAGGAAATTGTTTCATATTTAGCCCTTGGCAACTTTGACAGTGAATATCTTGAAAACTAATTATTCGATTTTCAAAAAAAAAAAAACGCACTTGTGATGAGAATCAAAATACCTTTAAAACAAAGTACAGCCTAATCCATCTCCCCTATCTAAAAAAGAAGAGTGGAAGTCACCAACGATGGGGTCAAAAAGTGTCTCCCTTAAATGCAAAATTGACGTGTCCAAGTGTTTTTTTTTTATTTTTAATTGACCTTAAAATACCCTAAAACGCATCTGTTTCGATGTTCGTGAAACACCCTTGAATTGTATTTTGATAATATGATTAATTTATCTTGTTATTTTTTATTTTCCTCAAAGGTAAATTATTGTTAATTCATACACCCTATGAAACATTCTTCGCCTTCAATTGGATAAATTAATAATCCCCACAAAATAATGTAACAGAGTGAAAGAGATCCCATACGTATCAACACTGAGAGAGATGCATAGCGAGTCGAGAAACTCGGCGGTCCGATTTGGCTCTCCCATAAACCCTTGACATCTCTTATTGTTTATTGTTATATCTTTGTTAATTTAGAAGCAAAAAATATGTGGTTTGCACTGTTATCTAGAAAATACACAAGCGAAACTTTTATAAAGAATATTTTTTTTCCATTTAAGCCTTCGTTTTCCGTTAAATGAAAGGTATTTTTAAAAAAGATGATTTTTAACCAAATGTTTGCACGCTTGAAACCGAGATATTTACGTTTAAAGTTTTTTTCGGCCATAAGAGCTAATGGTAATTATTTTTTTTGAATGATTATAAAAAAATACTCCCTACAAAGACCTTATTTTGTATTGGACCAATGATAAAGTATTTTTTTCCCTATACGGTGGTATCAATATCTCGATTTTTGATGATAGTGCCCTTTTGAACAGTCCAATTTTGTATTACCCCCGGAATAAGAGTTACCTTGTCAAGTACTTTCATCCCTAAAAAATTCAACTTGTGACAAAAAAGTGGGAGGTAAATCGATTTTTAAAGCGAATATTTTAATCCATCCACTCTACTATAATAGTACATTTCCTTTATTGAATCAGAATCAACTAGTAAAAAAAAAACGCTTATCAACTAGAATGAAATAACTTAATATTCGAAACATGAATTAAAATTTAATTTGTTACAAGAATTTCATGCACGCTGAACAGAATTTCACCTTTCTTGAAATAAATTCGAACTGATAGCCAGATTTTAACAAGCATTATTGATAATGCAAAATGGGAAATTTCTTTTATTCTTTAATTTCCAATTTATTGAAAGCGTCCATCATGGAACCATCAGGTGCCATTCCCCAAGCATCTGGAACGTCCATAATAAACTGGCTGGGTTCTGCCGTTTTTGGTTTAAACATTCTGGCACGACGCTGAAAAGTTGGTAAGTTTGGGGCATGCATTTTATTCGGGTCATTAAATTCAACTTTTTTTGGAGAAATTTCAGGGAACGCAAACAATTTAACATGTTCAGGCACATTTTCTAATACACTTTTTTCCTTTTTCAAGTTTTCTTCACTATTACTGCTATAAGTTGCTCCTTCGTTAGATTTTAATTCCTTTTCTGAAACATCACTGTTAACCTTTGTACAAAAACATTCACTTGGTTGAGATTCCTGTTTAGTTTCACAATAACAAACTTTTTGACGGTCTTGATGTGCCATTTTAATGGAATTTATTCGAAGCATCTGCAAATATTACACCACATTCAATAATACTATAAGGATTTAGTGAGTGTAGGTATATTTTAATCCCATATAATCTTATTCACTTAATTGTCGATAAGATAATAAATATTCTTGTTTTGGTGTGATAGTGATAGATAAGAATGAGTTATCAAAAAACATGTGTGCACTATGTGGGAATATTTGAACTGAAACTTTTTACGCTTAAACAGCTAGATTAAATTTAAGTACCATCTTACTGTAGAATATTGTCACGCTTCCGGTTTCACTAAAACTCACTTCACAAACAGTAAAAAATAATAACTTTTATTAAACTAATACTTTATAAAATTTACTTATCACTTATCGAAACATACACGACAAATATCGAATTAAAACTGACTCAACTTATTATTACTACGCCCTATTTACCTATATGTAAGAAAACGCTAGCCCGTGTGAGGTTTGCTAGTCCTCCATCGGGCGCCTCCCCAGGTGGCGGATAGGGGAATGCCTCTCAGATATGAGTGGTACCGGGGAAATTAAATACCCGGGGCGGACCAAAACTAGAACTGCAGCGTCTGCCTCAGAGTGAGCAGCTGAAAACAGCGTCTGTCCCAGAATGGGCGGCTGAATCAAAACTCACCAACCCGCCTGGCAAGCGTGGTGTTTTACTTGCCATTACCCCCCTTTACATACCATGGCGAATTTTAAAATAAATGGAACTGGTCCCCAGAGAGTCCTTATTCTTGAAATAGGGAAGCATTGTTCCCAGGAGAACCAGTGTTTCGTCATTGTTACTTATATTATCATTTCCATATCATTGAGAAAGACAGAACACTCGTTCTCCTGGGAATGGTGCTCCCCTGTTTCAAGAATAAGGACAGGTGGGTGGGAAATTTTCCGACTCCCACACCTCTATGGTCTGCCTCACGGAATCTGGGGGAGGCAAAAATTCGCTCCCAACAAAGATCAAAACCCCACGAAAACGACTAACACAACAAAAATCAAAGAAACTGATCAACCTAACAATAGCAACGTACAATATAAGATCAATGAACACTGACGAAAAGATACATGAACTGGAGGAAGAGCTGACAAGAATAAAGTGGGACATAGTAGGCTTGTCAGAAACTCGAAGAAAAACTGAAAATCGAATAAAATTGAACTCCGGTAACTTGCTATACTACAAAGGTAATGAAAACAATAGTAACTTTGGAGTAGGATTTATTATAAATAAAGCGATAAGTAAACACGTCCAAACTATCAAGGGAGTCTCAGATCGGGTTGCTTATCTCGTACTTAAAATGGAAAGAACATCTCTTAAAATTATTCATACCTACTTCATCATACGACGACGAGAGCATCGAAATATTCTATGAAGATATCTCAAAGGCTATGGAAGAACATAAAACTTGCCTTACTCTAGTAATTGGAGATTTCAATGCCAAACTTGGTAAGAAGCTGAATAAAGAAGAGACTAAAATAGGGGACTTTGGGTACGGTGAGAGGAACGATAGGGGAACTACCTTGATGAACTATCTAGAAGAAAAACATCTATATGCGATGAACTCGTTCTATAAGAAGAAACCGCAAAGAAAGTGGACATGGCTCAGCCCTAACGGAACAACGAGAAATGAAATTAACTACATACTGACCACTGAAAAATATATTATTAAAGATGTAACATTCCTGAACAGATTCACCACAGGCAGCGATCACAGAATGGTCAGAGCAAAAATATGTATCGATGACAACTTTGAAATGAAAAGAAAAACTAATGGAAACAAGGGACAACTAGACATGACCAAACTTGCACAAAATAAAACCATATACAAAGAGAGACTGAAGGAATAACTGACCCAGAACTTGAACAGCGATAATGAAAATATAGATAAAATATACGATACATTAGCGGAAACCATGGTTAGGGTAGGAAACGAAATCGCACAAAAAGATAAAAAGAAGGTAGATTGCATATCAGAAGAGACAAAGAAACTCATGGAAAGAAGGCGGAAACTGAACAAAGAAGGGAAAAAGAAATCGATAGAATACACAGAAATCAATAAGACCATCAAGAAAATGATAAAAGAAAACAAAAGAAAGAACCAAGAAATAGAAATAGAAAGAGTCATAGAGAATAACAGGAATATGAAATGCCTAAGACCAACACTAGGAAGATACGAAATAAATAAAATAAAAGACAAGAACGGCGTAGAAACTAATATTAAGGAGGATATCATTAATATCACACAACTGTTTTATACAGAACTATATCAAACAAAAAGGGAACCACCGCAAGAAGCTGTAAAACAACTACAAATTAAAATGAAGAATTTAAATTCAGAATTACAACGCGAAATAAGCAAATCGGAAATAAAGAAGGCTCTGAAAAAAATGAAAAACAACAAAGCACCTGGAAAAGACGGAGTCACGGCAGAAATGTTAAAATACGGTGGAAAAACGGTCATCAATACTCTCCATACCCTCCTAAATAAAATACTGAAAGAAAAGAAAATCCCAAACAACTGGAATGAATCCATTACAATCATCCTTCATAAGAAAGGTCATAGAACAGACTTGAAAAACTATCGACCTATAACACTCCTTAATGTAATTTATAAGCCTTTCATAAAAATTCTCCCCACCAGGCTAACAATAAAATTCGATGGTTACCAATCGAAAGAACAGGCCGGCTTCAGAAAGGGTTTCAGTACAAGTGACCACCCATGAAAATCCTAATAGAACGAGCCAACGAATATCACATCGCACTATACAGTGTGTCCGTAAAGTAACGGATAAATTCATTATTTTGAAAACTGTATAATTTTTGAAAAATCGCTAGACACGTCAATTTTGTTTTTTTGTTTGAAATTTTTTGATATATTTTTCATTATACAGGGTGTCTCAAAAATAGCTCTGCTGCTATCAACTTTGTTTTTTCAAATGGATCAACCTGTATATTATGACATTTATGGATTCTGCGGGAAATTTTTGACATATTTCATGTACAATGTCATATACCTATCTTAAACTGTTTCGGAAATATTCACAGTTGAACAATGATTTTTTTTGCAACTTTGACAGGCTGTAAAACCTGAACGGTTAATTTTAGAGGAAAACCGATTTCACATTCCTATCTTAGAATTCCATAAACTATTATTTGACACCAACTTTGAAGTTAATCCGTGATTAGAAATTCCGGTTAAATTTAATCTCCAGGTAAATTCAAAGTTGGTATCAAATGATAGTTTATGAAAATCTAAGATAGGAATGTAAAATTGGTTTTCCTCTAAAATTAACCGTTCAGGTTTTACAGCCTGTCAAAGTTGCAAAAAAATCAATGTTCAACTGTGAATATTTGCGAAACAGTTGAAGATAGGTATATGACATTGTACATGAAATATGTCAAAAATTTCCCGCAGAATCCACAAATGTCATAATATACAGATTGATCTATTTGAAAAAACAAAGTTGATAGCAGCGGAGCTATTTTTGAGACACCCTGTATAATGAAAAATATATCAAAAAATTTAAAACAAAAAAACAAAATTGACGTATCTGAGCGATTTTTCAAAAATTTTACCGTTTTCAAAATAATGAATTTATCCGTTACTTTACGGACACAGTGTATATTATTGCATTTATCGACTTCGAAAAGGCTTTTGATAGTGTTGAACATTGGGCAGTAAAGAGCTCATTAATTAACCTTCCATTAGGCGCGCGAGTTTTTATAACATCATTAGTCGCGCTGTATCACAGAGATACATGTACTAAATCATTGATAAAAAAATTGAACCTTCTGATGAATTTCGGTTTTACAATTTCTATGTATTTATTCGTGTACTCAACAATCACTTTTCACTGAGAAAGATATTCCAGAATTTGGATTCTGTTTTCGCAGTCGTTGCAGTTTGGCCAACAACGCCCGGCAACTTTACCATAATATTATGTGGCCTCTTCCAAGTTAGCTTGGGAGGAATTTTGTCTCATCGAGTTCTATCTTCTCCTAAGATGAACAGCCTCTTGTACCATAATATTAATATAAAAAAATACCAAGAAAACAGTTACAATTGAGGAGCACCGATGGTAACAAAAAAAGTCGCGTTGTATCAGTCAGGTACAAAGCCGAGCGCACCCCTAGTTTTTTGGATATTCCAAATTTCCAAGTAGAGGTACGACCATGTAATTTTGGGAAAGTAATAAGTATAGGGTACTTTAGGACTACTACAAGCCATAATATTATAGGGTTCTTCTTTCTTGATTTATTTGCAAAAATAATAGGCATGTATCTCTCAGATACACGCGCGACTAATGGAAGGTTAATAGCAGAATAGACTACAGATCCACAGACCTAATAACCAACATACATATAGCGAAGCAACAACAACTATTAAAATCCATGAGGGAACAGAACCAATACCCATAGGAAGAGGTGTCAGACAGGGCGACACAATATCACCCAAACTTTTCAACCAGGCTCTGGAAGATGTTTTTAAAAAACTAGACTGGGAGGAAAAAGGTATTGAAATATGCGGACAACACTTGAGCAACTTGAGATAAAGGATTATATCGCCCTTATAACTGATAAGAAAGAAGAGCTGACAGAAATGCTAGAAGAACTTGACACAGCAGCTAAAAACATAGGTCTCAATATGAACTACGCTAAAACTAAAACAATAACCAACACAGACGATGACATCATAATCAGAATAGGACAGGAAAAAATAGAACAAGTCGACGAATATATATATATATATATATATATATATATATATATATATATATATATATATATATATCTGGGACAGATTATTAACCTCAGCAAAGAAAACCAAACAGCAGAAATGAAGAGACGACTTAGATTAGCTTGGGCAGCATTCGGTAAATTAAGCTACATCTTGAAAAATAGAAAATATCCACAATACCTCAATTCCAAAGTTTATAATCAATGTATACTTCCTGTTTTCACGTATGGATCCCAAACATGGACACCTACAAAGTCAAACATGGATAAAATAACAAAAGCACAAAGAT